AAAACGCATCAATGACAGCGACCCTCTACCACACAAAACAACACCTGTAGATAACCCAATTTGTGTTCTTTGAAATTGAAAAGGATATTGCATTGTGTTTGTTACTTTTGTTGCAGTTCTCATTGACTTAAAGGTTTGAGAAACCGGCTCGAGATACACTTTTTGTTATATTCCATGGAATGCTCTTAACATCCCGATAGCAATGAATATCTTAAATGCTTTGACAAAAAATCCATAAAAAAATGTCATCTGTGGAAGCCACAGTACTGTAAAAAGCACGACCAATCATTTTAACCGGCCCGGCTAAAATAACTGGATGGCCTACCTGCCTGTCAGCCTTCCATCTGTGCACAAACTTATCTCGTGCCCTCATTGGTCATGTGCGCGTTCGTGCGTGTTGGAGGAGGGGCTCTGTAAGGAAGTGGCAGATTTTTTCCGGCTGTGTATTTTCAAATTCTAGCGCACTCGATCTGGTTTCTCCAAAATTACCTACCCCACCTTTAATGGATGAATGAATTAGAGGTGTATTCCAACCTTTACTTTGCATGGGTGTACTGCTCAGGGCTTTTTTTATTTTGTGTAATGCACATGTGCAGACTATGCAGATGAGTTAAAGCGGAGGAAAATGAAACCATGTGTTTATCTGTAAGTGTGCAACAATACAAATGTTTGTAGATGACAATGTTTGACATGAGTAATCATCCATAGGGAGCAAACACAACCATAACTCTTTCCACAGTGTGTGACTTTCCCCTGCAAACTAAAAAAGTAAAGCCATTAAAGGATCCAGAGAAACAGAAACAGATTTACACAAACAAAGACCCTCAAAGAAACTGAGGCAGAGTTTCTTACTTCTCTCCAAGTACATTCAATACATAAAAGTACACGTAATTATGCAGCATTAAAGTGGGAATATTTTACTTTTGAATGCGGTCTGTCTACAAATGACTGGTAAGCATTAATAATCATCTCTCAAGTCAACACATTACAGCCTTTCTTTGTCTTCAACCAATAGCTTATAGCTTATATTGGTTAATTTCAGTACTCTAATTCACTGCGTTTAACAAGTCACTTTAATATCATACTTACTTTGCCGAAAACATTTACAGATGTAAAAAATAATGAACATTTCAATTCCAATTAAAGTCATTTTCATTCAAATAAAACATGAAACAACCCAATTTAAAGTTTACAAAAACCTAATGGATATTTCTTACAATGGAATAAATGCAGTATATTCACTTTTTGACACCTCTTACATAATGAAAGTTATTGCAACACACTTATAAATGAGAACAATTATTTAATTAATCTCAAATGTCTCGTGTGAAGCCTGCACGGTTCATTTTCCTCCCTTCACAAATCACCCAATGCAATGTGTTCTATATACCTCAAAAGGGATATGAGATGCAAATATATTTATGCTTTGAAGTAACATCAAGCATTTGATTATATGCGGCAGTGTTTATTTTCTTGAAAAGCATGTAGGCTTTAATGTGACACTAGCGCATAGGGGACAAGATATTACGACTGGGGGTGGTCTCATTTGCATGTTTATTTGAATGTTTGGGTCAAAGGGTTTTATTTACAGGACAATGTATACATGTGTGTGTTTTGCAGGCGTGCAGATGTATGTGTGTAACAGAGAACACTACGGTCTGCTGCCCGTCCCTCTCAAAGCACAGCAGAGTGTGGAGGATGAGAGCGAGAGTTTCATACACACCATCACGGAGGCTTTGAGCAAGTACACACACACACACACACACACACACACACACACACACACACACACACACACACACACACACACACACACACACACACACACACACACACACACACACACACACACACACACACACTCTTTCCAGCTGTTGTGACCTAGCTATCTGTCACTCCATGATGACTTCCCCTCTCAGGTTTGTTTCTTCTTCTTCTTGACCTCTGCGACCCTTCCAGATTACATCCTGTCAACTCTCTCTGCTTTAATCCCCGTCCTTCATATTATCTCTCTGCCTCCTGCTCTTTCTCTCTCTCTCTCTCTGTGTTTATTCAATTCCCATCCCCAGCCCTCACTTTCCCACTCTTTTGGCTCCCCTGTCCTCTCAGATTTTTAGAAAAGCAGATTAAATAAACCACCCTAATCCGGAGGAAATGTACTTATTTTCTAATCCCGTTTTTGCTGTTTTAACCTTTTGCTTCTCTCCTCTCTCTGTGAACAGTTGACCACGACATTGAGCCCTCTGAGTACCTGCACTCTCAGCCGTCGCCACAGGACACCATGGGCTTTGATAAAGTGAGTTAAAAGCAGTGTTGTGCAATTGTCTATTTGTCCTTAAATCACAGACAAACAAATAATACACACAACTCTAAATACAACTACTGCAGAGGCACCAGATAGCGAATCTTACACTGGAAGTAGTCCAATGTCCAGGCATTAATTGTTTTTGTTTGTCCATTTGCACAGCCATACAAACATACACCCACATACAAAGGACAATGGTTTTAAGTGGTTAAATAAAGGCATAAACAACTACTACAATCAACTTCAATTCTAACTTTGAATGAAGATCAATTTATTTAATATGAAAAGTCAATGAATAGCTCCAGCAAGTGTGTTGGCTCTGCCTGGGGGAACTTCTGTTTTTATTTTTCTGTTAATCAGCAACTCCCACTTCCTGTTTTGGAAGCTGTTTTTTTCCCTTTCTTGTGTTTCCAAGTGTTGTTTTTCTTCTTTTGCCCTTGCTTTAACCTCAAACTCATGATCATGTCTCCATTTTTCCTGATAAATGTTTAGATTATCCTGGTTAACCTGAAGCGCCGGCTGGACAGAAGAACCAGGATGTTGAAAACAATGTCTTCGCTGGGTTTACACACCGTGCTGGAAGAAGCAGTGGACGGCAAGTAGGTCACAAACACACAGCCCTGCACGCACGTGATGAACTGTCCTGAAGTCTGTTGAATCCAGAAAAAAATCATCCTTACAATCTCTGCAATTTAGTCTTTTAAGGTTTAGTCTGCAGAACAAAAGTAAGATTATGTACTTAACATCAGTTAAGAGATGTCCTACTTTTCTGTGATGCGTCTGTCGTTACTTCCTCTGACATCCATACCCAAACATCCTCTCTAAACACAGCTTTGGTGTTTGTAGCAATAGGCTTGCCTTACTTTCCCTACTTGGTACTTTACTTTAATCCACCGCTGAGAATGTCCTAATCCTTTTTCCAGCCTTTGTTTGTCTGACAAAATGTAACGCTTGTTCCAGCTTGCTGAGTTTGACTTTGTTGTGTTTTGGCTGTGACACTGTTTTGGATGATGACATAATAACAAGTGAAGAAATACTTCACTTTTTCAACTGCTACTACTCATTCATTTTCCTTCTCTGTGTCTATAAGGGCTCTCAATTCATCCCAGCTTCAGGCGCTAGGAATAGAGATGATGCCGGGATACAAAGACCCTTACTCTGGTCGAGTCCTGACCAGAGGGGAGATCGGGTGCTTCCTCAGCCATTACTCTATATGGAAGCAGGTAAATACCCTAATATAGAAGGGCTGTGTAGTTCAATAAAGAGACTGTCAGCACAATCATCACAAAAGTACTGTAGAACAAGGGACAATCTGCACAGCTGGCAGAACGTCAGCTGTTTTAATTGTATTTTTACTTGAGCATGTGCATGTTTTTGTCCATCAGGTGGTGGAGAATGGCATCCCAAAAGTTCTTGTTTTAGAGGACGATGTGAGGTTTGAACCTAGATTTAAACGACGAATCCAGTCCATCATGGATGACGTAGACAAAACCCAGCTGGACTGGGACCTCATGTAAGAACACACACACACACACACACACACACACACACACACACACACACACACACACACACACACACACACACACACACACACACACACACACACACACTACTACTTACTTACTTACTACTACTACGTACGTAAGTAAGTAAGTAATAGTAACTTACTACTACGTACTTACTTACGTA